GGGACTCCTCTTCCCCTGGGCTCCAGCCAAGCCTCCAGCCAAGCCGACCTTGAGCAACCTCGTAATTGAGTCGAAGGGAAGCCCCTTCCCTTTGATCCCTCCCCCGCCGGGAGGGGGGGGAGGGGTAGCGACCCCCCCCCCCGGGTCAGATACGACGCCCCCCCCTGGGACTCCTCTTCCCCTGGGCTCCAGCCAAGCCGACCTTGAGCAACCTCGTAATTGAGTCGAAGGGAAGCCCCTTCCCTTTCATCCCTCCCCCGCCGGGAGGGGGGGGGGGTAGCGACCCCCCCCCCGGGTCAGATACGACGCCCCCCCTGGGACTCCTCTTCCTTGGGGTCCAGCCAAGCCGACCTTGAGCAACCTCGTAATTGAGTCGAAGGGAAGCCCCTTCCCTTTGATCCCTCCCCCGCCGGGAGGGGGGGGGGGGGTGTCGACCCCCCCCCCGGGTCAGATACGACGCCCCCCCCTGGGACTCCTCTTCCCCTGGGCTCCAGCCAAGCCGACCTTGAGCAACCTCGTAATTGAGTCGAAGGGAAGCCCCTTCCCTTTCATCCCTCCCCCGCTGGGAGGCGAGGGGGGGGTAGCGGGGGGCGGTAGCGACCCCCCCCCAGGTCAGATACGACGCCCCCCCCCCGTACCGACCATGAGCAACGTCGTCATTGAGTCGAAGGGAAGCCCCTTCCCTTTCCCTTCCCCGACGGGGGGGGGAGAGGAGGTCCCGGGGGGGGTCCCGGGGGAGTCCCGGGGAAGTCCCGGGTCAGATACGACACCTCCCTCCCCCACCTTCTCGTCCTTCTCCCCGTTCCCCCAAACCATCCCACAGCCCGTGCCTCTTGCTGCGCATTGCGAACAGGGTCGGCGGCACCGGCCGTCAGGCCTTCGCAATAATAGGGCCAGGCGGGGGCGGACGTCCAGCCCGCGTGAGCCGACCACTTCAACGGGGATGACCTCCCAAAGCTCGCTCCTGAGCTGGGGTCGATCCCATTCCTGAGAAGTCTAAGACTATGCGCGGCAGCACGGTTGCGAGGACCTTTCTCACAAGGGGCCCCCAGGAGCCGAGAACGAGCGGACCCGAAAGCGCCACAACACGAGCACCAGGCCACCCTTCCCCCGTCCAGCCAGAGCCTGCGGCTCCTCTGAGCCGTCCTCGCAACTCTCGGCGGACCGCCGCAAGGCGTGAACGCAATCTGCGTCCTGGAGCGACCTCTCTCGCCGCAGGTCGCACATCTGTACTGCTCACCTGCCTTCTCAACCAAGTTCCCGTTGGGCCCGGGACTATGCTGGAAAATATGGGGTTTGGGCCTGCGCGGCCTCATATATCTGGTAAAATCAGGAAAACCCCTGGCAGACGAATCACTCATAACGTCAGCTATCGTCCAGGCCGATTGCTTAACAAGACTACTACTGCGCGCGAGCTGAGCTTGAATTAGTGGGGTGGTGGGATGCGCCTGGGCCCCAAGCTTGGCTAGCTCGTCGGCTCGCTTGTTGCCTCTCCACGCCCACTCGCTAGCTCCTTGCCTAGGGGCCTGGCTGAGGGAGAGGTGCGACCTAACCCTGCTCACTGAAATCAGTTCACGCCCGATGACTTCTGACAGGTCCAAAATTGCCTTCCAAATCTCTGAATACACGATATCCTCCAGGTTCTGCACTGGCCCGAACCCCCAAACATCTTCTACCGTCTTGCAGCCAGTGACTATTTCAAGCCCCTGTGGGCCCGCCAACCTCAACGCCATCCTGAAAACATGGACCTGTCCTTCTCCTGCAAATTGGACCACGTGCGGCAGCAGGCCGTACGCCGCCCCGACAACAAGTCCGCTTTCCGTGACAGAGACCACTGCCCACCCTGCTCTCGCAAGAGAAGGCTGATCCGGATCATGTTCGACCCGTCTATGCACACTCGTTTGTCGAGTACACCGTTGGGCGGGACCACGTCCCATCGAAATCCTGCCTGCTGGTACGGCGTGGGCCACGTCCACGCCGCGTTCGGGAATAGCGCCCTCGTGTGGAGCACCTCCGTGCCTGGCAAAACAGGTACGTCCAGAAGCTCCCGAACGTCTAAATATCGAATTCGTGGCCAATGGGCGGGGACTCTGAACCTATGCAGAGATGTCCCAACGTCGCTCATGCACAGCATGCACCTGTTGTCCACCACCCTCCTGTCCTGGAAGAGCCTGTCCTGGGTCGGGTACCCGCCTGCTACCACGCCCGCGAGACCCGCTGCCGCCTGCCTGCAACCTGCCCTGCTCCTCCTCCTCCTCCTCCTCCTCCTCCTCCTCCTCCTCCTTCCTCCTTCCCCCTCCTCCCTCCTCCCTCCTCCCTCCTCCCTCCTCCCTCCTCCCTCCTCCCCTCCTCTCCTCCTCTCCTCCTCCCCCTCCCTCCTCCTCCTCCCTCCTCTCCTCCTCCCTCCTCCCTCCTCCCTCCTCCCTCCTCCCTCATCCCTCCTCCCTCCCTCCTCAGAGGCTTCTCGGCGGCTTTTTGTGAGAAGGCAGATGCGCCTCGGTCGAGCTCAGGACCCCGTAAACGGGAGCAGACCAAGACGTAAACACGCTTGAGAAAAACTACAACCGTGGTAGGTCGAGACATTACCCAATAGTATTATTATTATTAGTATTAATATTAGTAGTATTATTATTATTACTATTAGTATTATTATTATTAGTAGTATTATTCTTATTAGTAGTATTATTAGTATTATTAGTATTATTATTAATATTAATATTATTACTATTATTATTATTATTATTATTCTTAGTATTATTATTATGTTTATAGTTCTTTCCCGCTTGATCTCGCACGGTCCTGGCTTGGCGAAACTCCAGGCTGCGCACTGACAGCCCCCGAAGTAGCCCCAGCGGGCCTCCACAAGCCCGCCAAGTAGTCCAGGGCGGTCTCATCACCCCAACGCCCTAGGGGCGCCGCTGGATGCGGCGCCAGGCTGTGGGAGACCGCCCTGGCCTGCTCGGGTGGCCTGTTGAGGCCAGCTGAGACCCGGGGGGAAGGGGGGGCTGCACGTGCGCAAGCCCGAAGCCGGACCATCCCATGGTTTGCATCGTCCTGGCCTCTGGGGCCCTGCTCGAGCGCCTCCCGCCGGGGCCCCAAGAGAGAACGGACCGAGCTGCCCCCCCCCGAGCGGCCTCCTCCATCCCGGCGCCACGGCCGCGGAGCCGTGGACCTCCTTGGCGCCCTGGTAAAGGGCCCCCTGGAGGACTCGATTCGTCGCGCTGGGGGTCTGCCAGCGGCTCGATGACAGACCGCGCGGTGAGCGCACGGCTTGTTGCACCCTGGAGGCCCCCGGCCGCCCGCAGTGCTGTCGGAGAGCAGCCCACGCCCCACAGCCGTGGGGCCACCTCGAGTCCGCACCGACTCGCCACACGGTGTGGTCCCCGCAACCGTCGGGAGGCCCCGGTCTCAGGCCCAGGGGAGATGCCGATGACATGCGCGCAACAAATACGCAGATCGCCGACAATCTGCTTTTGGTTGGGGCGTTTGTCCTCGCGCTCGGCCTCGGGGGCCCCAGGGCCATGAAACGTGCATCCGCGACGGAGAACTGGTCGCGACGGATGGGTCGAGACACTCCGGGGCCGCGCACTGGGAACAACACGCCGTCGGATGTCCGAAAACGGGGCCTCTGCAGGACCCGCGTCCTTCGAGCCAATTAGACGGGAGATACGTGAGATCCAACAGTAATATTCTGCACAAGCACTTCTTGGATCGGCGTCGGACCATCGCGGTCCGAGTGCCAGGGAGGGGCTCGTTGTCCTGAGTCTGAGCATGTGGAGACCCGCTTCGAAAAGAAGAATGGTCTGCATAAGCTTCGTGAACCTACCAAAGATCCGCGCAGATTTCTTTGATCGGCGCCGAACCTCCTTCCCTTGCGCGCGGAACGCGCCAAGGGCAGCGCTGAAGTGCTGCCAGCGGGGTCCCAGCGCCGACCAAACGAATCCGCTCGGATCTCTTGGGTGCGCCGACGAGGGGGGACCAGGAAGAGGGGGTTCAGCGCATCATGACCCGAGCCGGCCCGAGGCACTTGGGCGGACGAGGGGATTGCCATGGAGCGTATCGAAAGAAGAGAGAATGGTGCCCTGACATCTGGAAGAAATCCACACACACCACTCTTGGACGCGCCACAACCTCCGAAAGCTCATGTCTGTGCCGGTTCTTGTTCCTCGAGCCTCGTGCCAGGCCCTTGGGAACCTGCGGAGAACAGCGACGCGGAGTCCGCTAGAGCGCTGGGCGCGAGGCCTCCGCGGCCCGCCCAGGGAGCAGCAGCAATGCAGGACGTCGGGATGTCCCGGTCCTGCTGCCGCATCCGCGGCGCCGTTCGCGTCGAGTCCGCGCAGGCAAGACGAAGAAAGGAGGAGGAGGATGAGGAGGGGGAGGAGGAGGGGGAGAAGGAGGAGGAGGAGGAGGAGGAGGAGCAGGAGGAGGAGGAGGAGGAGGAGGAGGGGGAGGAGAAGGGGGAGAAGGAGGAGGAGGAAGAGGAGAAGCATGAGGAGGAGGAGGAGGAGGAGGAGGAGGAGGAGGAGGAGGAGGAAGACGAGGGGGAGGAGGGGAAGGAGGAGGAGGAGGACGACGAGGCAAAGTTCGGATGAAACGAATCGGGGAGCTCTGAGAGCCAGTGGGCCTGGAGGATGCATCCGGCGCCGCCGCCGCTCCAGAGAGCCTGGCGGCACAATGTGCGAGCGCTCCGGAAGGCTCTCGGGCCCGCCTGCGTGGGCGTCGCGTCCGTGTCGAAGACCGCGCCTACTCCGCGCCGACCCCGCGCCGCGTCGACGTCGCCGCTGCATCGGCGATGCATCGGCGGGGGTGGGGACCTTGAGGCACCCTCTGGGGCCCCAGGGGGCCCCGTCCAGGGGCTCTGGAGGGCCCCTCTTCTGATTCTGCAGCCCTCACTGGCCCCTCAGCTCGCTCGCCCCCCGAGCTCGGGATCGCGCCGCGGCGCCGCCGGCGCGTCGGCTGTGCGGCGCGATCCTCCTCCAACCCCGCCGCCGCTGCAGGCCGTGCTCCTCGAGCCCACGCTTATGTCGGGCCCACGCTTATGTCGGGCCCACGACGAAAAATAGAACCCCAAAAAATAATCAAAAGAAATAGTCCATAAATAATACAGGGACTATTTTTTGTTTACTTGTTGACCTTTTTCGGGGTATTGTTGGGGTATGTTTTATTTTTCGTCGAAAATCCCCCTGTAGGGGGACACGCCCGACAGAAGCCCACGCTGTCCCCGAGGCCTGTGCCGCGACGACTGCCGCGTTGGCCTCAGGCACGCCGCGCGGATCGCTCCCGAAGGATCGGCGGCCTCTGCATCGCCACAGCGCTCCGTCGGGGTGGCGGAGTCTCTGCTGCCCACTGCTCCCTGGCCAGGCACATCCTGCACCGAGCAGCGGTATAGAATGGTAAGCCATAAGAATACTCCAAATGTCGTAATAAAAGGGAGGGGGTCTGGACCCTCCAAGACAAGCCATTTCAGACCTCCCCTGTGGGAGAAATCTCCAAAACATCGTCCCCAGACCCCCCAGGCCCTCCAAGATAGCCTGGAAGAGACCCCCCCCCCGAAATGAGACCCCCCTCCCTTTATGACGAAATCTGGAGTAAGCAATAAGAATACCCGTAACACTTTGGAAGGGGACCTAAGACAGGAGGGCCAAAATGATCAGGGATAAAGGGGGTCTGTTCTGCAGGTGTATCCGGCCAGACCTGTTCTGCAGGTGTATCCGGCCAGACCGCCCAGACTGATGACCCCTAATGCGAAGACGGGGACCTCAATGAGGCCCCGTCTTCATCCTGTTGTTGGAGTTAGGGGTTCTTTCGTTCTCGATGATCTGCCCCACGCCCTCCCGGCTTGGCCGGGAGGACGTACACGCAGCTCCTGGGCCCACAAAGGGCCTGGCCAGGAGGCAGCGACATGTATGGGAATGAGGGGCAGCGATATGGGGGGGACTGGCATAATGGAGGATGACGATTAATAAATGACCGGGGGTCGTGTTCACGCGGCGTCGCCCCGGATGACGATTAGAAAAAACCGGCCGCGGGCTGGAAAACTATTTCTTTCATCGTTCTCCTCCAGTCAGAAATGGTGTAGAAATAGCAGAAAACTATGTTGTTATCATTTTCTCTCATGTTCCGCATTAGGGGGGAGCGCATCGACCTGGAGCCGGCGACGCGTCGCCGAGAGATCGGCGGTGGGTCCTCGATAGCGACTCCGCACCCTCCTGGGCGGATGGGGGGGCCGTTCGACTCCCGTCGGCGATCCACGGGCGACTGCCCGTCCCCCCCTATGCCTAGGCTTAATGCGGGATGACGATTAATACAAAAATGGGAGAGAACGATTAAACAAATAGTTTTCTGCTATTTCTGCATAGTTTTCTGACTGGAGGAGAACGCTGAAAAACCTTGCTTTCCAGCCCGCGGCCGGTGTTTTCGAATCGTCATCCCGGGCGCCGCCGCGTGAACACGACCCCCAGTCATTTATGAATCGTCATCCTCCATTATGCCTAGGCTTAGGTCGGGCATGTCCCCCTACAGGCAGATGTTGGGCGAAGATTCAGACAAATGATCCAAAAATATCCCCACATGGTCAAACATCGGCAAACAAAAAGTCGTCCCCAGAATATTGGTCCCCGGTCAGGGCTTGCACTGAAGGGGTCCTAGCGGAAGTTGAACGATTTGGCGAAGGTTTCCCGCCGATTTGGGTGGCAGGCTGGGTTCCTGGGTGCCCGGTTTCGGATTCCCGGGTTCACGATTATTGGTTCCGGGCCGATTTCGGTGGGTTCTGGGTTCCCGCGGTTCCCGGGCTCCCGGTCGATCTCCTCAGCGAAAACCATCATCCACTGATTTGGTTTCTTCTCTGGTTCACTTCCACTACTTTTGGTGAATATTCCTCCTGTAGAGGGACAGGCCCGACTTGTGCCTGGCCCCCCCCGCCCATCGTCGCCCCCGAGGGCAGACTTCGTCGCCCGATCCGCACCGGCCGGCTCTGGGCGGCCTGCCGCGTTCGGCCTCGAGCGCCCGCGCCGGGGCTAGGTCGTGCGTGGCCTCCTACACGCGGATTGTTTGGAGGATGAATGAAATATTGTCAACAAGCAATATAAAAAACAATGATGACAAATCATATGTGCTGCCTGTTCCTCCTGTAGATGGACAGGCCCGACCTAACGCCAGACTATGTTTTGACCATGCGTTCGACAATTTTCGACTATGCGGGCTATTGCTGACTACTCCCAAGGACGTTGTTCTGACTATTTATGATTATTTGCTTGACTCGGATGGACTATCTTTGAAGATTCCCCCTGCTGCTGGACAGGCCCGACTAAAAACGCCGGGGTCGTCGCCGCGCCGACGCGCGGCGGCGGGGCGCCGCCGAGGGGGGGGCAGGGCGGCCGCGGGCCTCGGCCCCGCCCTGCAGCGCGTCGTCGCCGCCGCCGCAGCCTGGCGGGGTGGAGCGGCGAGGAGGAGGAGGAGAAGGAGGAGGAGGAGGAGGAGGAGGAGGAGGAGGAGGAGGAGGAGGAGGAGGAGGAGGAGGAGGAGGGGGGGGAGGAGGAGGAGGAGGGGGGAGGAGGAGGAGGAGAGGAGGAGGAGGGAGGAGGAGGAGGAGGAGGAGGAGGAGGAGGAGGACCAGTGGAAACCCAATAATCATCAACAATGTTGGAATTAACCTTCCCTCCAAGCTCCCTCTTCATAGGCCCCAACACCGGTTCGTTTCCATTGAAGGAACTGCCTCGCTGGAAGACAACAGTTTCAAGATCCTGAAGCGTGCCAAGACATTGCTTTCGGGATTTCAATGCCACGTATCAACCTGACTGCTGCGTTTTGACGATCCAAAATCGCGCCAGAACGTCATTTTCGGGACCTCAACACAGCGAATCATCATAACTGTTGCGCCCGCGTAACCCTTGAATCCTTCCCAAACACCATTTCTAAAACGCTGTTCATGGGAATCCGTGAGAATCTTGCGGTTGTTAAAAACGAGTGTGCGCGGGGCTAAATCGAGAACGACATTGTGAAAACCATCCGCCCTCAATCCGTAAAGCTCTTGCAATTGTTTGAACGAATGTGCGCGGCGCTGGGGCGAGAGCCACATTTTGAAATTGGCCCTCTCTCAAACCGTGAAACTTTCGCAAATTAAAACAACAAAAAAACGAATGTGCGCGGCGTTGGGGCGAGAATCACATTGTGAAAACCATCCGCCCTCAATCCGTGAAACTCTTGTACACTGCTAAAACGAATGTGCGCGGCGCTGGGGCGAGAACCACAGTTTGACAGCACCCGCCCTCAGTCCGTGTAACTTTTGCAAAAGTTGAGATCGAGTGTGCGCGGCGCTGAGGCGAGAACCACAATTTGAAAACGACCCGCTCTCCATCTGGGAAATTCTTGAAATCTCTGTGAACGAACGAGCGCGGCGCTGAAACGACAGGCACGTTTTGAAAACGACCCGCCCTCCATCTGTGAAATTGCTGTCGCCTGTTAAACTTCAATCATAAGTTGTGGGGAAATCTCAGGAAAAACGCCCATCCCGCCGTAAAAACTGGCCTCGGGGTGCGAAAGGGAAGAATTCCTCATAATGAAAAATGGAAGAGGGACGAGGAGGAAGGAGGAAGGAGTTGGGGTGGGGGCGAAGGAGGAAAAGGAGGACGAGGAGGAGGAGGAGGAGGAGGAGGAGCAGGAAGAGGAGGAGGAGGAGGAGGAAGGGACAGCAGGGGAGGGTTTGACCCCTGTGCCAGGCTTCGTGAGGTCTTCGCGAAGGGGGCCCAAAGGAGTTTGGGGCCCAAGTAGGGGAGAAAGAGAGGGAGAGAGAAAGAGTGAGAGAGGGAGAGAACAAGGGAGAGAGAGAGAGAGAGATATACGTGTATATATATGTACACACATACATATATCTATATACATATATATATATATGTATACCTGTATACATACATATGTATGTATATATACACATACATACATATAAGTATGCATCTGTACATACATATATATAATATGCAGTCATCGATTCATATGTTGGTTCATCTTCATATATACACATATGCGCATACAAACATATGTATATATACATATATATATATGGTCAGCCCCCCCCCCCCCCAGCACCCCGTGTGCACCCATCGCTCTCTTTCCGTTGCTCCTCCTCCTCCTCCTCCTCCTCCTCCTCCTCCTCCTCCTCCTCCTCCTTTCCTCCTCCAAATATGAAAACGAAGAGGAAGAGGATGAGGAGGAGGAGGAGGAGGACCAGGAGGTTGAGGATTCGGATGAGGAGGAAGCCATGTTATTCACAGGTTGTTTTTGGTTTTTTTGGTCAGGGAAGCCACGAAACCTTGCTATTCACATTTTTTTTTTTTTTTTTTTTTTTTAAAAAAAAAAAAAAAAAAAAAAAAAAAAAAAAAAAAAAAAAAAAAAAAAAATGGTTTTCAGAAGCTCCACAAACTAGGCCAGGAGGTCTTATGGACGGCTGAAAACCAAAAAAACCTGTGAATAGCAGCGTTTGGTGGCCACGATCCCACCAAACGCTGCTATTCACATGTTTTTTTTTTTTTTGGGGGGGGGGGGTTTCGGTCTAGGAAGCCACCAAACGCTGCCATCCACAAGTTTGTTTTGGTTTTTTTGGTTTTCAGAGGCTCCGCAAGTTCCCGCGGCCCCCTTCTGGCCAAGCTTGTGGAGCTTCTGAAAACCAAAAAAAACAAAAAAACATGTGAATAGCAAGGTTTCGTGGCTTCCCTGACCAAAAAACCAAAAAAACATGTGAATAGCATGGTTTGGTGGGCAGTGGTGCTTTGCAATAGAATTTCTTTGTGCGGCTTTCCAATAGAATCCCTTTGTGGCGCTTTCCAAAGGATTCCTTTTGTGAGGCTTTCCAATAGAATTCCCTTGTGATGCTTTCCGAAGGATTCCTTTTGTGAGGCTTTCCAATAGAATCCCTTTGTGATGCTTTCCAAAGGATTCCTTTTGTGAGGCTTTCCAATAGAATTCCTTCTCCTCCTCCTCCTCCTCCTCCTTCTCCTCCTCCTCCTCCTCCTTCTCCTCCTCCTCTCACTCCTCCTCCGTATGTTCTTCCTCTTCCTGCGCGCAAGTGCGCGCTGGCGAAGCGCGCGATAGCGCCCGCGCGCAGCTGAAGATGATGATGTTCAGCTCACTTCACTACGATCGCAAACAATATGCGGATCCGCGCACATTTCGCCTGGGCATTGCCATATCATTCGCCCGACATATCGCAACGCGGGTGGCATCTATATGAAGAGGGGCAACGTGAACGCACCTCTGGTCTCAAGAACTAACTCGGCCAAAGCGAAATAGACAACAAGCGCAAACGCGCGCCGTGCGCCTGGCCTCTCTCACTCCGAACGCCAAGCCTGTCGCCACTAGAGCACTCCGCCTGGCCACCTGGCTGCTCCTGCGCGCCGATCTCCAAGCGGGCTCGGCTGCGTCAGCGAGAGAGCTCACTGAGCGTGGTCCTTGGCCCACGCGTCGCGGAGCATCTGGCCAGTAGCGAGCCAGAGATCGCTGCCGCGGTTCCAGTACGTCCACTGGAAGGAGCGCACCTTGCATAGGCCAGAGAGCGAGCAGCAACTGCGCATGTCGCGCTGGGCCGCCTCTCCAAACCTCAGCGCATGCCACCCGCCAACCTTTCCCGCGCCGGGCAACACCTCCCACCCCCCTGGGCGGCGTTCAGCTGCACTGAAGATTGAGGAGACAGCGCCTACGCAAACAAACGCGTTGCACGTCGTTCATCTGGCCTGCCTTGTTGCGGAGAAGGACAGACCCCACCGTCTTCGCAATGCCCTTGCCGACCGCCTTGCGCAGGTCGCCCCACGCGCGGTCGATCACCTGGGTGCCGCACTTCACCCACAAGCGCTTCGTCCCGCTGGGCTTGCTCTGGTCAGGGACATCGTGGTAGCGGATCTTCGTGAATGCCGGCTTCAGCCACACCCACTTCCCGCCAACCCGCACCCTTTTCTTCTTGTGCACGACCCAGTCGTGCAAGACGCCATCGACTTTCATCTTGTAGGACCTCGCCCCGTCCGTGTGGAGGATGACGCGGCGGTGCTTTAGCCACTTGGACGCCATGGGCGCCCAACCCCTCTTCCGAATCGGGCCAGGGCCAGGCGCCCTACGCTTGGCCTTCTCTGGCTTCAACCTGAAGAGGACCAAGGACCTGGGGTGCCCCCGCTGCACGATGCCGCCCCACTGCTCCCAGATGATGGGCTTCTGCGTGCGGGGGCCAGCGTTCGGGTCCTCGCCCTTCGCCACGTCGACCTCGTCCGCCTCCACGTCCGCCCACTCGAGCGCGTTGCCGTCCTGGTCATGGCCAAAGGAGATGTTCCTCTCGTGGGAGTTGACGTACTTGGCGCGGGCTGCATACAGCGCAGAGTAAATGCCCTCTGTCATCTTGTGGTTGTTCTTCAACAAGAGGCGGGCGGACGTCTGCGAGCACTGGGCCACGGCGCAGAACAGCACGGCGGCCTGGTCCGCCAAGCGCCCCCCCGACGACCCCGTGCCGCATTTGAAGATAGGGTGGAAGGCGTGCGGCATGAGGAAGCGTCGGCAGCAGTCGCTCGAGCATTTGTGGGTCCACCCGCCCTTCTTCTTGCCATGGTCCTTCAAGGGGCCCAGCTTGCCGATCTGGCAGTAGGGGCACTTCGCGCCCTTCCACTCAGGCAAGACCTTGTCCTTCTTCAAGCGTTCGATCACCTGCTTGGTCGTCGCGTTCACGAAGTCCTTCAAGCACCGAGCCCATGCTGCCCTGTCGAGGCGCGACCTGACCGAGGAAGACCCGTGGCGCGTGTATGGGACGTTCTTCGGTTTGCGCAGGAGTGAGCTCTTCTTCACCTTCTTCATGGGCACGGGCCGCATGGCCATGCGAGCCTTTCCGCGCTTGGCGACTGGCCATGGCTTACCCATGGGCGACGCGCGCGGGGTGGCGGCCGCCTGGCTGCCGACGGGGCTGGCGGGCGGGCTCGGTGGCTTTCTCACACTTGAGCCAAGAACGACAGGGTTCGAATCGACCGAGTGGTGGCAGTGGAAGACGGCAGGTTGAAGACTACACGTGCGATCGCCCACAGAACCCGCTGAGGATGATGCTGTTTCGCACAGTTCACAACCGTCGTAAACAATATGCGTATCCGCGCACATTTCGCATGGGCATTCCTATGTCACTCGCCCAACATATCGCAACGCGGAAGGCATCTACATCTGGAAAGCGAACAAGCATATACATCAATGCATTCATATCAGCTCGCTCCAGCCGTCATAAACAACATGCGTCGCCGCGCACCTTTCGCCTGTGCGTTCCCGCGTCACTTGCCAGGCCAGCTACCGCTGGATCAGTCCGTCTGGTCACCCGGAAGCTGGCTCGCGCCGCCAACGCGCTCCGCCTCGATGTCATCGAGGAGCGTCTCCATTTCGGCATCCAAGTCGACGCCATCGTCGTCCACCACGAGGGTCTCGCCATGTGCCTGCGCCACAATGGATGCGAAAATCGCCTGCTGCTCCTGGATGTCCACGGGGGAGAGCGGCCCGCCGCAGGCCAGACCCGTCTTCCTGGTCTTCCGCGGCGGAGTTACCAGGTTCTCGTGCGCGCCGTGGTGGGCCTTGGCTAGGCTGCGAAAGATCGCCACCTGCTCCCGATGGTCCTCATCCGAGAGCGCACCGTGGCAGCCGACGATCGGGGGCTGCTTGGCGGGCGCGGGGTCCGCGGGCGCAGCCGCGCCACTCGGCGCCCCCACGTCGCCGCTCGATCCAGGAGCAGCACCCGCCTGCCACGGCACCATCATGAGCGTGTCGGCCTCGGCGTTGATGATCTCCTTCACGCGGACGTCCCGCGCGGCCGTCAGCTGTCTGGGGGGCGTCGGCTCGGGCTCCCCCATGCCGCCGCCGAAGCCGAACACGTCCTCCTCGTCCGCGGAGACGGCCCGCGCGTCGGCGCCGCCGCCGCCGCGGTCGGACATCCCGCCGTCGTTGGGCGCGGTCTCCACGCCGCCCGCCACGCCTGCCTCCCGCGGCGCCGCGGCACCGGCTGGGGCGCTGCTCGCGGCGGCGGCGCCATCGGCGCCGTCCCCGCCACCGTCGCCCGCGCCCGCTGCTGCGCGCGACTCGGCCATGAGCTGGAGCACCTCCTTCTTCTCAAAGGCGAGGAGCCTGTCGTACTCCTCCTGGTCGCGGCGCTTCTTGTGCCTGAGGAACCGCATCAAGATCTTGCCCGCCTCGGCCGTGATGTAGCTGCTCATGAGGGGCAACTTCTCAACGACCGAGTCCTTGCCAGCGGGCCTGAAGAAGAACGAGTGCTGCGTGTTCAGGGCGACGTTGCACCGCTTGAGCATGGCCCCTAAGTTGCTCTCGGACATACCCTTAGGGAAGGCGGGCCGAATCATGTCCACCAAGATGGCAGTGGTCCGCTTTGCAGCATCGGGCGACGTCGCCGCGAGCCCCCACTCCTCGCCATTTGGTTCAGCGCTGGCATTGTATTCGTTGTCACCGCCAAACCTGGGCAAAGACGAAGCGCGGGGCCGACCGACGCGCAGGATTCGCTTCCCTGGGAAAAAGCCAACAAAATCTGACAGCCAAACTCGAGAAACCTGGCTGGCCCCGACGCTTCGACTTCGCCAGCCGCCTCGCTTGGCCGCGCACGAACTTCGCGGCCCCCCAGCGCACATAGGTCATGGCCTCAGCCTGCGTGGGGTCAAAGAAGGCCTTGAGGACGCGAGGCCGCTGATCTGCGAGGTCGCCGTCATCGAAGATGCAGGGCGCCCAGGGCTCCCCGACCTCCCCGCGGAAGAAGTCCATCTCTGCGGATACCCGAACAGCAGCCTTGGCACGACCTGGGTGGCGTTCATTAGCGACGTCTGCATTGTGTCTCGCAGTCGCCATGGCACAGATGTACATGAAGGGTGTCTTCCCGAAGCCAGCCTCCCCGATCGTAAGCAGCGTGTTCCCCATCAGCGTCTTCAAGATCCTGTTCGTCATCGGCTGGTACTCCTTGCGGATGTCTGGCTTCAGGAGCGGGTAGTAGTCCTCCTTGGTCGCGAAATGGTCGCGGTCCGCGATGCACTTCATCAAGCTGTTCACGAACTCCCGCTTCATGTTGTAGATGGGGGAGTCAGGGTCCACGTACTGGTGCTCCAACCACAGGACCCTCTGGCCGTCGAAATTTCCGCGGGGGGCCTCCGCCTGCACGAAATCCCACGCTCTGTCGAGGGCGGCCTTCTTCTCCGCGACCTCGCCAGCGTCGATGTCCGCAACTGCCTTAGGCTTCGGCAGCCCCCAATAGCGGAACAACAACCCACCCATCGCCTCCAATGCCACCTGCATCGTCCGCACAGTGTTGAAGGTGTCGGGGCGGTAGTCCAAGACGCACGGGTCGCCCTCGACGATCTTCTCGAAGATTGCCGCCATCGGCTCTCCGCCGCCGAGGAACGTGAACACCTTCACCACCAAGTAGCCGTCGTCAGGCATGGACTTGGACACGTGCATGCCCATCACGCAGGGGATCTCGTTCTGGCCAGCATCGGAAATTCCCAATGGCGGGGGCAAGGCGTTGTACCGACCCTCGGCCATGGCCTCTTTGACAACATCCCAGTTGACGCCCGAGAGGTCGCCGCAATTCGCGATGACGTCGGTGAAGCCCTTGATGGGGCGCCGCGCGGAATAGCGCCACTGCTTGATGGGGAGGTCCCAGACGACGGGCAGCACCAGCCTTGTCAACGTTCCCCACAGCGTCGGGCTTCGCAAGGACCTCGAGAACGGGCATGGTCTTCGCCTTGTCCCAGGCTGCCACCATCACGTCGTTGGTGCGCCCCTCTTTTCCCATGGACACCCCGAAAGACTTCATGCCGCAGGCGGGCAGGTTGGCGGCCTCCATCGGAAATGCCCTCGACATCGCGGACGGCGCGGAGGCGCGCGAGGTGGCGAGCGAGCGAGGCGACTGATGTTTGAGCCTAAACGTGCGCGGCATTACTGGCGGGGGGGAAAGCGAGAGGGGGAAGGGGGGCGGCATTCGGGGCGATCGCAAGCAGGGCGAAAAGAGTGGGAAACGCCTGGCCGCCAGAAGAAATGGATTCACAATCGCTTCAAAATCACAGCTTTTCATGCCGAACTCCGAGCAGGTGCGCTTCAAACTTTCATCACATAACCAATATATAAATGTGCGGGGCAAACGCCATGCCCTCACACCCCGCCCGCGCCTCAGAGACGGCGGCGCGCCGACGCGCGCAGGCCGAACGACGGGCCCACGTGCATTCGGTTGGAGGGCTGGTCGCCGTCGGCATCGAACAGCACATCGCGGTGGCGGGGCAACGAGAGCGACGCCATCACCATCCTCTCCATGAACCCCCAGGTTGTCGACCACGGCACCTCCGCCGCATGGGTCCATCCTGGGAAATCGCGGCACGTGAACGTCACAATGCACGCGCGGTCCTCAGTGCCCACCGCAGGGCGACATCGCGCATCGCAGACGTGCCAGCCACTATCCGCTGCAGATCGATCGGGCCGATCGCAACGAGCATCGTCGATCTGCAACTGACCGCGTCTGACCGATGTGGCAGATCGCAGACGGGGAAAGATCTCGCGATCGCGGCTGGCGAGGCGAGCGCGCGATCGTCGTGGCCGATGCAAGTGGCCACAACCTCGGCGTACATGTACGGGCGGACGATCACATAATCGAACGCGGGATCGTTCGACTCCCACAAATTGCCGTGGAAGCCGGGAGCAAAGAACTGGTTGCCGCTGTCCCGCACTTCAATGTTCGCGGGCCACACGCACACGTTGAACCGATCCTGGGGCAAAAGCAAAGGTGCTTCCTCATTGCCGAAATCAGGAGATGGTCGGTGGCGGGAGAGGGGCCATCCAAAAACTTAGTTACCCCCCGCCCTCAAGTCCTCCCCAGCAGCCAAGCGCTGAGCCTGCGTGCGCCCCACCCTGCGCCACGCCGCGTCTGGCGGCAAGACGTGGCCAACGTGGCCAGGCATGGCGCGCGGCACGAAGGCGTACTCGAAAGCCATGGGTAGAAGACAACCGCGGAGAACTTTGAGGGGGTTTGAGCACCCTGCGGAGGCCTGAGCGCTAGCGGCAACGGGAGGCACCAGCAGAAGCAGCAGCAGCTCTTTCTCTCTCTCTCTCTCTCTCTCTCTCTCTCTCTCTCTCTCTCTCTCTCTCTCTCGCTCTCTGTGTTTTTATGTGGCTACAAGGGCATCCATTTTTTGGATGCCCTCATTCTTGCAGGGGGGCTCTGCTGGTTTCTGTACGCCGCCGCTGGCGTGCCGTTCCTGCGCTCTGTCGCTGCTTCTGTCTGCCTTGTAACATGAGCAGCGCCGTCAGCGCCAGACGCACCAGCTGCAGCACCGCCATCAGCAACAGCACCAACAGCATCGCCGCCAGGATCACAAGCTGCACCATCAGCACCGACAGCGCCACCAGCAGCACCACCACCAGCAACAGCACCATCAGCAGCACCGTCAGGATCACAATTGCTTCGGTGACGTTTGAAACATTATGCGGCATGGTTTGCGGCATACTTGTTTCCCACACTCATTTCTGGCTGCGTAATTAATCACGTGCAACTGAAAAGTGGCTTTTTCAGAGGCGGAGGTGGGAACCCATTTTTTGGGTTCCCGTGTTTTTCCTCCCTTGAGCCCGCACATAAAAATCCTCATCTCTATTCCTCTGCCTCTCTCCTGCCCCCTTCCCCCGCCCCGCTCTCTCGCCCGCCCGCGGGTCGTCTTGGAGCGGTCTCCGAAGCTCCTTGAGCCGTCTTGGCGTGGTCTGGCGGAGGGGGGCGGTGGCCTCGCCGGTCGTCTCGGGATTCCCTGGAAGGGGCATCCAAAACAGGATGCCCCTCTCGCCTTCACTAGGTCTGGCCCCAGCAGCGGTCTTTTGAGTTGTGCTCGTTTTCTCGCCTTGCAACCGAA